AAGGTGTGAACTTGTTGCCTTCGCCTGCTGGCCTGTCAGTCTTGGAGACCAATGGTGTAGAAACGATCTTAGAAATGCCAAGGAGAATAAAAATATGAAGCCTGATATAAAATGATTTAGTACCTTTTATCCATCATCTTATCTCAGTTCCCCTGCCACAAGCACTGGGTGTGTGCAAGCAGGTTGCTTTTCCACAGAGCAAACACTGTTACGGTGTTGCTGGGGCTCAGATGTGGTGCAGTAACACTGTAAGTGGGACACTGGGCACCAGACAGGTTTCTTGTCTTGCTTCCACATGTGGACAGCCTTGCTTCACTGTGTCCTGTGATTTGGTAGTTATCCCTTGCTGTGAATTTTCTAGTGCGTTGTTATATAGACTTTGGTCCTGCTTGTTGAAGTACTTTCTGAGCTGACTGCCTGGTTATTCAGCTACCTGGGACCTAAAGCAAAGCTGTCAGCAGACTTAATTCAGCTAACTTCTCCCACAGTCAAGGAATGGCTGCTGGGTTTCATGTCATGGTCTATCTACAAAGGAATTAAGTTCAAGAGAAACAGAATGAGTGCAACTGCTCTTGGTCTCCTGGGGTTCACTCAAGGTGGAGACATGATGGGGAGAAGGTGCTGAGCTGGGACTCATGGTGCCCGATTTCCCTGCTTGACCTGCTGTGAGGCACAGGTGACTGTGCTGTGCCTCAGTTTCCCTTTCCTTCATTTTGACTGTTTAGACTAAGCTCTTGTAAATATTAAGCTTGATCTGATCTCTTGGGCTGGAAGAGCTGTGTGGTGCTGTGGACTTGGGATGGTGCTAGCTTGGAGGTTTGTGCACCCCTTCAAGCAGAGATGAAATTGCTTTGCCAGCCAGATAAAACCTGGGGGCTTTGCCATCAATACTCCCAGCCCAACTGATGAGCTCTCAGGGGCAGGGTGTCTCCTACTCTGCGTTTGTACAGCAGCTAAGGGTAATTGGCCCCAGTGGTTTAGGATACTGTATTACAGATGATACCACGATTATGATATGTGCATAAGAGGAGCTGTATCTTCATGAGGCCTCTCTTTCCCTTTGTTCACTCTTTTATCCTTTTATTCTTGATTAAAAAGTAACAGAACACGTTTCTCATTGCCCTCCCCTTGCTGTCTTTTGCATAATGTCATTCTGCATTGTCTGTCAGACTCAATCTTTAACAATTTTCTCTACCTGCATCACAGCAGGATTTTCCCCTAGCACAGCTGGTGCAAAAAGCACGCATGCAAGTGAGGAGAGCAGAAACTGCTGGCCAGGAACGCCGCGGTAAGCTGGTTTTCTTGGCCTGGAGCTGTGGACCTTCCTGTGGGCTGGAAGGTGATGTGCAGTCTGTGTTGTTTATTTATTTTTTAAAGGAAATATGCTCTTGGGAGCTGCTCTGTTTGGCAATAGCCTGGGTCCAGAGCTTCAGGATGTATGGGATTGAAGTGGCTGCTCTGTTCCTCAGTCTTGCAAATTCTGAGAGCAAATAACAACCTACCTACGGTTCTCTGACCCCTGAGCTCACCTGGACACAAGGTGTGCCAAGAAACCTTGACCCTCCCTCTGAGCCACTCAGGGTGTAGGCCAGGACCCAGGGGAGTCAGGGCACGGTGGGACTCTCTTCCTCTCTTAAAGGAAGAAATCTTTTGCTTCCCTGCTGCTGTTTCTGCAAGCATGTCTCCCCCTAACCTGCTCAGTGGTGGATGACAGTCAAGGGGATGTTGGGATTGTGTCCCTAAATTTTAGCCACTGTCCCTCATATAGGACACCTGTGCTTATGTCTCTGGAGCATAGCAAACTGGAAGTCCACTTCTTTGTGGTTCCATCAGAAACCTCCCCAGAGATGGATCCAGACTGTCCCAGGAGTCCCTATGAGCTGCTTTGCCAGGGCAAATAAATAGTGCCACTGGTGCTTGCCGTGATCCAATTGTCCCAGTCATCTGATGTGCAAAAGATCTGCAATAGTGTACCATTTTCTCTGCCCTGTCTCAGCAAGGCAGGCTTCGCCTTTCCAGATGGAAGTGCTGCTCCATTAAGTGCAGTCACCTGCCTCAGGCTTGGTGCTTGGGATGGAGGTGAAAGTCCAGGGAAATGCTTCGTTGCCTGGCAAAGCTGCTCGGGAAGGAGGAAGGCTCCTTGCTGAAGCCAAGACAGCCGGTCCTGGAGAGCAGTGTGATTTGCTCACCTCTGTCTTTGGGGCTTATGAGGAGGAGTTACTCATGACTGAATCCATTTTTAGAATTTGCCATGAAATGCTCTTTGCCCTCCTGTAATGGTAGATTATAGATGTCTGACCTGTTTCAGTGCTCTAAATTTTTTGCTTTCTCTTAATTCCCCTGCTCTTTTCATAATCTTAAAAAGCCCAACTAAATCCTGATGCTTCCCCTCTCAAATCTAAATAATCCTTGCAATTGCAATCTCTTTCTTGTGTTTAAGGCTTTCAATGCTTAAGATCTGTGTGATCTTCCCTATGGTGTGGAAAAAAAAAAAAAAGCCCTGAGCATGCAGATTGAGAAAAGGGCAAACCGTGGTTTAATAGAACATCCCCATGACATGCTCGCATCATTTTCTCGCCATCACAGACACCCCCACCACCCCGTCTGCTGACTTCACTGCAGTGCTGTTGTGGGGAGTTTGTTCCTGGGAGAGGCAGGATGGTTTGCTGGCTCTGGGAAGAGAGAAGGGGATGTGGGGGTCAGAGTTTTACCTGATTCTCAATACCACCTGATGCAAAAGACAGCAATTTTTTTTTTGACTTTTCAGAGCTGTCATGTTGTTCAGCTGTCCTCCCCCCGCATCTTGTAAGCACAGGAGGATGCAGACATGAAGATTTGTGGAAACCAATGTATTTCTTTTTTCAAGATTCTGATTTCCATCAGAAGAGGTGGGGGATTATTGAAAATGGCATTTCCCCTTCTAGTGGCTATTGATAAAAAGAGCCAGGTTTTTCCACTGTAAAACATAAGACCACAGAATATATTAGATTTACTGACCAGAAGCAGAGAAGTGAAAAATTTAGACAACTAAATAAATCAGCTGGGGGAAACCTGATTTTCAGATGAAAAGATAAATTCATTACAAAAAAAAAAAATGTAGTGAGGACCAAAATGAAAATGTTTTCAGGGGAAACTTTAAAGAGAAAAGAGCATTCTCCTACCCTGTTCAGCCTATGAGCTCCCTGTACCCTTCTTCTCCCTCCATAAAATAAAGAAACTTTCCCTGATGACCCAGTTCTGTGGATCAGCTCAGCAGTGCTGAGGGGTGAAGACTTGCAGGAAGAAACGCTCTGATTTTACTCTCGGCCCAGGGTCTCCTTGAGCATAACAGGGATCCTGAGCCAGTGGGAGCTGAAGCAACCTGGTGGCAGCCCAAGCATGAGGCCTCATTTCCCAAAGAAAGACTTCAGTTTCCTTCTCCAGGCAAAGTTTTTCCCAAAGACTCCAGCATTCAGTTTAATCTGCAGATTATCCAAAACAGGTTGGCGGAAAGTCCTCCTTTATCACATTCCCAGCACGTGCATGGGAAGGCAACCTACAGACTGGAGCTGCTTCTTGCTGACCTGCTCCCCAGGGCTTGCAGACACTGGCTGGCCATGTCCGTCTCAGGGTGGTTGGTGGCTGTTGCTGTGTCTGACCCTCGAGGCAGCAGGATGTAATGCACCTTCCTCCCTTGCTGCTTCCCTCTACGGCCCCTTGAGTTTGTGCTGCTACTGGCTTACCCCAGGAATAGTGCTGCCTCTAAGGGTATCTTCTGGCTCTGCTGCAGCGTGAGAAAGCCCTTCAGATACCAAAGCCCTGGGTAAGAAGCTGGTTTCTTCCAGGAAGTCACCCTTTGGATATTGCCAGCCCTTATTTGTGCCATATGTGGATTTTGCCAGCCCTCTTGCTGTCTCCTGAAGCGAGCAGATGTTATTGCTACAGACCTGCCTAGTTGGTGGGTTGGTTTTGAACTGAGACAGCTTGGATGACTAAGGCAAAAAACACATTAGCAGCAGAGTGCAGGGTTTCCTTACTGTGGGGGGGAGTGAAAATGTCCCCCTGTTGACAGCCCTGACTTCTCTGGAGGGTCCCTTCTAAAAGTTAATAGTTTGTATCCCAGATTTAGCCTAAATGCAAAAGCACATCCTCACCAGCTACTGCAGTGACCGTTGATGTTAGGCGCTCCAGTCACAAGGAGGAGTTAGCTTTCTGACTTGCGGTGGAAGGGAGCAACAGAGGGTGTTGGAATAAACAGGATTAAAGGATTTCGTCCATAAATACAGGATTAAAGGTATCCAGCGCTCTGCAGGAGTCATTCAAACCAAGGAGAAACAAAGTAAGTTGTCCAGAAGGGCACAGCTCTGTTTCAAGCCGGCCTGTGCGCACACATCCCTGCACCACCTTAGCTGTGTGTGCTGCTGCGGGGGTTACATCGCCCCCCCCCCGCCGCACATCTGTCCCTTCCACGGCGGTGCCCGCCGGCCCCGTGGTCCCAGGGGCTGGATCTGAATGAGCACCCCC